AGAGAGAGAGAGAGAGCAGTGAACTATTTCTTCCGCGTACACGAGAGACCCTCTGTCGACGTCATGTTTATCGTTGACGTCACTACGCCCAGGCACCGCGAAGTTTGCGTTCCATTCATGAAATCCTCGTCGAGTAGAGACTGACGTAATACTTAACACCTACCACTGTGTGTAAAGCTGATGAAAGCTTATCATTGAATGCTTTTCAGATTCTTTTCAGTTCTTTCACGATTAAATCCAGTCTTATTTGTGTACATATTTTCACACTTTTTTTTACTAGATTTATAATACCTTTATTAGATTATTATTATTATAATACAAAGATACATTACATTTCAAAATGAAAAATATCCATTTAAATTTGAAAAAAATTGTTTTTTGTAACAAATCTATAAATTATTTTTTCATCGTGAAAATATAACTTTATAAATAAATTTATTAAAGATATGTGATTTCATCAAGGCGATTATAATATTATTATCGAGAAATAATTTTTATAATTTCTTAAATAATTTTATATATATCCATATAGGTTTATAAACATACACAAATAACATAACATAAATTATACAAAACTTATTTTATAATTACATACAACCTTTTTTTATTTTATTCTTGCAAGCAAGAATGGATATATTATCTATGATATGTGGGCAAACAAGTGTAAATCTAAATTCAGTATAAATCATATTAATATGCCCGTCAAAAATATGATCTTTTATAATTATTGCATAAAATAGTTCTAATATAATAATAAATTAACAGAAATGGTTGATATTATTTAAAACATTAAATAGAATTTATGAAGGTTCTTACGAAGTTTCTATAACTATGACTTTGACTTATTTTCGCAAAATTTTGAACTTATAATGCAATAGATAAATACAATTTTACACAATTTTATAGTTTATATATTCAATTTTCATGTGTATTAATATTCGGTGCTCGTACCTGGCATCTTAATCATTTAATATTGAAACAGCGAAGCGCGGTAGCGTGCGTCTAAACGCTCCGGCGATGTATTCTTGAAGTAGCAAGTTTCTCCCCGGATGTGATGGAGTAGCGTATGCGGTACCGGGAGTACAAATTCGTTACTTTATCGACAGTATTATCGGTGGAAGTTTAGAGAAACTGCGGCCCCAGCGGCGGAAATTCGACGCGCGAGAAAGCGCGTCGGCGCAGGAGAGATACACGCCGGAGAATAATGAAAGGCCCGTCGGCTGGCCATAAACTTTCGAACAATAGCGTAATCGTGGTTCCATTGACTGTTAAGAGGTGCGGACGCGACTAGGCACGTGGGTGGTATCGGTAGGTACCGACTTTTATTACTCGCCGCTTGTATAGTATATCAGTCTCTCTCTCTCGGGAGAGACCGTGAAGGAATCTCGTGCACGCGCGATATTAAACGCATTTACGTTCGATACCGTTGCAGCAATCTCTCCAAGACTCCCAGACAAACATCTCAACAACAGGATTTCCTCTAAAATCCGAAATGATGTAAAAATATTGCAAGTTCTATTAATATCCAGTATCACTTTTTCCATCACAAAATCTCTATTTTATCGTTTAATAATTCGATTCGTCGAAGTAACTGAATAAAAATAAATACGAATCAAAATTATTTAATTTTCGATGCAATATATATTTTACTACACATACACACCCAACATATTTTATAGTAAAATTTTCTGAAATCATTATTGAGAAGAGTGATCTTAGAGTTTAAAGCTAGACATTGCACAGTTTGATTTTTCGTTCGCGCGCGCACAGGAATAGCGAGCATAAATCAGCAGCGCGTTGCTTTCGCAATATCTCGCGACATTTTGATCGGGTCAAAGAATGATCGTGAAACTGGCGTGATGTATCTGTATGCGGGGCCGCTTGATAGATCAGAATGTTGCCGGATAATCTATGAATAAACCGGCGAGTGCGCAATGCGCGCGCGCACGAAGTAGTTGCACCATTCGCCACGGGACATGTTACCGGGAAATATTTAAATATTTAACTTACACGATGGTATAAACCACTTAGCCGGCTAATGCCTGTAGTTTCGCAAGCACGGCATTCGCCATTGCGCGATATTTAATTCGAGCGAATCGAACCTTAGGATCGCGTGCGAGGCACTTTTGCCTGTTGCGAGTAAACAGAATTGCATTTTCAAATTGTTTGTA